TCTGACCAGACTATATTCCAGTATTTCACAGGCTTGTTTAAATGTTGTGCAGCAAACTTTAAAGGAGCTTCAACATGCTGTTTCTTCAGCAGTGGAATCTTGCGTGGTGAGCGTGCATACAGGCCATGGTGGTATTTAAATAAATGAAAAATGGGCTTAAAAACATATTGTGAAGCTTAAACAGAATTGCTACAGAAAAATATAACTTAAACAAGTACACTGTATGCAAAAATCTAAAAAAAAATTCTCAATGTAAATACAGTATGATCTATTTTCAGTTAATGTAAGGTTTATAACAGTCTTTACATGTCTTACACAGTTTGCTTTTCAGTAAATGTTAAAGAGTATTTTGGAACACGGCTTCATTATTATTATGTTTTATTTGATTGTGTCATACTGTATTTATCTGTTATCTTGCTGGCTTCAGGTTTCACACCTCCAGGAATGGACAGGACATCTCCAGACAGCAGTCCAGTGCATGGCTTTGTTCGTCAGGCATCGGTAACCACCGGATCCAACATCCCCATCATCACTGAACTAGGTAAAACTGTTTCCACCCACCTCCCCAAGCAAACCCTGTATGCCATACCCTGTAACCAACTCGTAGTTCATTTTCAGACACCAATAAACAGCTCTGGTAATCCAAGACCTCTTTCAGCTACCAAAAACTTCCACTCTGATGTGGATTCTTGTTCCATTTCTTGACATTGGTAGCTTTGGCCACTTCAAGTTCTTATCTGACAAGTTGTTGTCAAGTGATGAGTCAATTTGAAGATGTCAGACAGGCACTTTTAGGACAAAAGCTCCATCTCCTGCAATTTGTCCACTAATGGATAAAAGAAACTCAGCCCAATGGTGATGGCAAGAGAGGGAGAAAGGGGAGAAGGGGAAAAAAAGTGCCTTGGTTGCAAAATAGGTCCATTTATTAATAACAATGTCACTGGTTGTATTCCCAGTGGTGATGGGGACTCATGAAACTTTCAGATCTCTGAGGGGCCTTGTAAAGCACCAGAGACCAGCTACTTTGTCTCCCCTGACCCAATTAGGGAGCAATGGAGCATGAGGCCAGCTAAGGAAAGGCCAGAATGAAAAAAGAGCCACCTAATGTTAGTTGCGCTCGAGCCAGCCATTACCTGAATGGTGACTCTCCCATTACGCTGCTGACCACATACATAATCGTCAAAAAATAACAGTTGGAGTCATTGTCCAAGACACAAACGGTTGTAGCACCGGTGTGGTGGCTTCGCATGCTGTCTGCTAGCCAGTTTCACAGAGAAGCTATACCAGATGTGATAACATTGTCCTGCAGAAAAGGAAAGAGTAAAAACACGCAGAGGAGAGTGGCTGCATGTCACACTGGTACCATATACTGTAATTACAATGTCATAAGTTTGGGTTAAAGTGCCAGCAAGAGACTCTTGCCAAGATGAAATGTAAAAAGCACTCCTCACCAGCGTTGCATGATTGATTTAGTTTTTTTTGCATGGATTTTGAATAGAACCTTGTTTATCCCTCGCACTGTCTTACCGTGACACAGTTTATTGCGGTTGTAATTGGTTACCGCTGTGACGCAGCTACGCTTTAATCCGCAGTGCTTTATGTTTAGACACCGGACAACCATGAGCGTTTCAGAGCAATCCCGGAGTCGATGCGAGCATTTCAGAAGGCCCTCTGAAACTGTATATAATGACAACACCTTTTGTCCCCTCTCCCCACTCTCTGCACAGTCTCGTCACCATTAGCTAAACCTGGCAAACTACTGCCACTGGTTCCACTCAGTCAGGAAAAAAAAAGTGGAACCAACATACAAATGATAACAGAGCTGGGTAAGCCGAGCCTTTGTCCTCTGCTGCCGTCGGTTCCCTCACTCCACTGCTCCGCTCAGCTCCTCATCAGCTTGTCTCGATTTATCTGGCTGCAGTCAAGGCCCTCGCTGCTCCCATGGCTTTACTTTGAGCACAATTTTATTTGTCATTCTGGTTGAAATGGACTGTCTTGATGCAGCCCCCCACCACTATTTTTTTCTTTTTAAATGATTTTTATTTTGTTTTCTTATTTCTTTTTTTCTTTTCTGCATTTGCAGAGCATCACTAGGCCTTTGATCACCCTCAGTCTGTCCTTGTGGCTGTTTTCAAAGCAACACGCTCCTCAGCACCTCGCCCTTCCTCCTCGGCTCCTCCAAAAAAAAAAAAAAAAAACACTTGCACGCTCAAAAGCACCCCACTTTCTCCTTCGCCCCCACTCTTCACTCCTTAGGCTGAGGCCCGTTTGCATCAGGCCCTTGTCTCTAGGACTGGCATTTCTCTTCTACAGCTCCCTGGAGTGCTGCAATAACCCCGCCACCTAAAATAAATAAATAAATAAATAAATAAATAAATAAATAAATAAATAAAAATTAATAAAACTTTTGAGGACATTTTTCCATGTTTCTTCTCTTTATATTATCTGTGACGTGTGGGCTTTACACTGGTCACAGACTTGAGTAATTTTTTTTTGTATTTCCAATATTTTTTGCCCATTGCTGCTAAATATGATGAAATTATCTTTTTTTTTCTTTCTTTGATTGTGGGGTTTCACAGTATGCCATGTAAGACAACATGCATTGTTAATTTTGGTGTTAAATTGTGATTTAATTTGATTTTCAGGACACAGGTAAAACCATTTTTTTCCTACAGTAATGATTTATACACATTATGAAAAAAAAACCTCTGGAAATCAAAGCATGAGTTTGTAAGTGCATGATGCTCTCATTATAGTAGCCATTTTTGAAGTCTAATAACTGCAGTATGTTCATTTGTGACGCATCAAATAATGTACAGTATGTTTAATTTAAATGTATTATTGTAAGCAAGTCTCAGTGCTACAGAGGTTTTAAAACAGGGGACTTCTGCAATGGTTACTATTTTGTGTGCATAAAGAAAATGTTCCTGTAACTGTGTGAATACATCCTGCATGTTTTTCTTTTTTTTTTTTTTTACAGTTACTGTGATTTCAAAGATTAAGTAAATAAAAAAAAAACATCAGTTGGAAAACACTCATGAACAAAAATGTTAAATATAAATAAAATATTAAGTTTAACTTTGTCTGCATTGGGACTTCATACAACATTGCTTAAGCTATTTAAATTAAAAGTCAATAATGTGGAGAAGGAAACTATTTGTATAGATGTTTTACAGTAAGACAAGTCCTTATAAAATACTTTCTTATTGTATAATTATAATAAATTCACATATTTTAAAATACAGCTCAAACCAAGCACAAACATGGTATGTTTCTAAGCTGTCAGGTGTGGCAGTGTATATGCATTACCTCTGCAATGGCCCTCTCTAACTCCGCTGTGTCTCAACCCCCGACCCCCACCCCCCTTTCAGTGAATGACTCAAACGTTCAGTTCCTGGACCAAGACGATGACGATGATCCAGACACGGAGCTGTACCTCACTCAACCCTTCGCCTGCGGCACAGCCTTTGCTGTCAGTGTACTCGACTCCCTGATGAGTGCGGTAAGGTTTTGAACTGACTACGAACTTGTGTTGGGGGGGAAAAAAAGTCTAACATGTCACGGCATTATTTTTTTAAATTTTCATTACCTGGCAGCAATTTTAAACAAAATCAGACACGGTTATTTAATTGCAAATTGTTTAATTTTCTGTCCTGCCAATTTGGCTGCTTGATGATAATGACGTGATTTTATCCTTGAAAGTCAAATAAAATCACAAACATTAGAAACCTTGCCACTTCAATAAAAATGCTTGTTTGGATCCCACATTAACATATTTTGGTAGATACAATATTTTGACATTTAAGTACAGATAGTTAAATAAAATGACAATACACTGATTTTGTGTGCCTAATGACACAGATCCTTCAGTACTATAACTTTCAAGAGACTTTCTTAGATCTTTAAATTGAGTAAACGTTGAAGGTTAGAATAATGGTAATGACACAATCTAGGCTTTAACAGGCCAAAGACTGTGTTTCATCCTTTTACAATGTCATCACTTCAGTGAAGATGAGCTAAAGGGGAATAAAGGGGAAAATATTCTATAATTCATTCCTCAACCCCCATCTCATGGCCAACTGTATTTTTTTCCTTTGTTGGTGTGATGTCTTAATTCCTTCAGTCCTCTACTTGAATGAGAGGTTAGAGGGGCATGCAGCGCTGAGCTGCGCGGGGAGCAGAGCAGGCGTCAGCTGTAGTCTAGCGCCGGTCAGGGGTGAAGCCAGCTAATGGACACTGCTCATCCATCATGAGGCTCTGCAGGCCTGTCAGGGGCCCAGAGAGAGGCGCTGCCATTCTGGCCCGGCTGCCGAGTGACATCGGCTGTCTTTGCACCAGGAAAAAGCGGGCCCTGAACAGCTTGAAGGACAAGAGAACGTGACACCCAAGGAGCTTAGTCAAAATGTTGCCTCAGAAGGAGAAGGCAGACGTTGTACTTTTGTGTTTACCATGAAACAAATAGCACTGATATTAGTTTTTTCTGTTCCTTTTTGTTTTAATTGATGCATAAAGGCAAGCAAGATTTGAGCGCGCACAATAAAATTTGAGCAAGCTCGCAACAAGATTTGCACACACATGAGTGCACAGATGGGTTTGCCTGTGAATTAGACTTTTTTGACTTTTACCCATGCAATGCTGCGTTCAAAGCTGGGAAATCTGACCTTAACCACATTTACTGAGTTATTGGAAAAATGAATTTCTGACTCATAAACCCTTGACATTACTGGGTTCCAGAAATATCACACTTTGCTAACTGTACGGCTAAAATAAACAACCTAAAAAGAGCAAGTTGAAAATCAAAAAGAAAAAAATTGTATAGGTCTTCTGGACGGGTTCTTCTCTAATGAAACGTTTCGTCTCTCCTCCAAGAGACTTCTTCAGTCTGAGAGTTTCAGGCAAATTCAGGCTTTTAAGCCCTGCCTCCATGTGACTGATACTCACATCACATGTCTGTCTTTGACACCTAATTAACACTTATTGTTAACAGGGGGTGGAGTGATACTGGCAATAGCCGCGCTGTAGGAGGGGGACAACTGAAAACGGAGGCCTCCATCTCTGTTTAATGACGGACGGTCTTTCTTCACAAAAATGGCTTCTTTTACTCCTCTCTCAAACCAACGTTCCTCTCTATCAAGAATGAGAACATCCTCATCTCTGAAAGAGTGACCGCTGGCCTGTAAATGAGTGAAAACTGCAGAGTTCTGGCCATTAGACGTAGCTCGTCTGTGTTGGGACATTCTTTTGAACAGTGGCTGCTTTGTTTCCCCGATGTATAACTGGTCGCAGTCCTCCTGGCACTTCACAGCATATACAACATTGCTCTGTTTGTGCCGGGGCACCGGATCTTTGGGGTGAACCAGCCTTTGCCGTAGTGTGTTTTGGGGTTTGAAAGCTACTGGGACATCATGTTTAGAAAATAAACATCTCAGTTTCTCCGAAACACCCGCAACATACGGAATAACCACTGGTTTGGGTCTGGGTTTGGGGTCTTTATTTTCACTTGAAGGTTGCATGGAATCCTGTCTGTGTTTCCTGTCTGCTTTCAGGAAAGCCCAGTCAGGATAACCACACTGCTCCAGGGCCTGTCGTGTGTGTGATTTCTCTTTCTGCCTGGCTCCTGGGTTTGTAGGGACACTGTCTGCTCTGTGGTACAGAGTCCTGATCACTCCTAACTTGTGTTCCAGTGGGTGGTGGGAGTCAAAACGCAAATATTGGTCTGTGTGGGTGGGCTTACGATACACGCCAGTTTCCAACCGTCCTCCATCCGAAACAGAGACATCGCAATCCAGGAATGCCAACCTGCCATTTTTACATCCTCTCGTGTGAACTTAATATATTCATCCACAGAGTTGATGTGATCAGTGAAATGTTGGACTTCCTGGCCTTTAATTTTAACCCAGGTGTCGTCAACATATCTGAACCAATGGCTCGGTGGCACCCCTGAAAAGGACATCAAGGCTCTCTTTTCCACTTCCTCCATGTACAGGTTTGCAACAATAGGAGAAACTGGGGATCCCATGGCACACCCAGGTTGAAAATCAATCAGTGCACGCTCCCATTGTGAGACATATTATACGCCGTATCCTGCTTGCGACTTCAAGAGTGTCTTTAAACAGAAACCCCATCTGTTTCCTCCTCAGACATACTTCAACGACAACATCCTCACGCTAATCCGGACGCTGGTCACAGGCGGAGCCACACCAGAGCTGGAGGCTTTGTTGGCTGAGGAGAATGCTCTCAGAGGAGGTTACAGCACACCTCAAACACTGGCTAACAGAGACAGGTGTCGCGTTGCCCAGCTAGCCCTCTACGACGGCCCGTTCGCTGATTTGGGGGTAAGTGGATGATAAAGTGGAAAGCACAGACTTTCGCATGGCCAGCCTTCTGGCCGCCTCTGCTCACTTTGTTCCTTAATCCAACGTGAAGAACAAGCTTACATGTGAATCAAACCTTAGTAGGCGGAAAACGCTTTGAACGGGGTTTTCTTTTTGTTGGTGTTTGTTCTACATAACTTAAAATAAAGAGACTTTTTTCTGTTTTGTTTTTTTAGGATAAATTGTAACACAGTGCTAACGTTTGGCATTCACATGAAAGGAAAGCAGATGCAGAACAAATGAATTTTCAAACAACTTTACATAAACTTCTTGTTACAGGCAGTTAAGTGAGTTCAGCACAAAGAGCTAACACGCAGACGGTGCCTTTGTTGTGTTGTTCCTCAGGATGGCGGCTGCTACGGGGATTTATTCTGTAAAGCACTGAAGACATACAACATGCTGTGTTTTGGAATCTACAGACTACGAGATGCTCATCTCAGCGTGCCAAGCCAGTGCACTAAACGGTACGGTGTCGGCTCTTGTGACGCACATTTTAGCGTCGTGCAATAAGAGGTAACATTTTCCGGCTGTTTATTTTCTAGATACGTGATCACAAACCCCCCGTACGAGTTTGAGCTCGTGCCCACAGACCTGATCTTCTGCCTCATGCAGTTTGACCACAACGCCGGCCAGTCCAGGACGAGCTTATCCCACTCCTCCCACTCCTCCCATTCCTCCAGCAAAAAGAGCTCCTCTGTGCACTCTGTGCCCGCCTCCAACCGGCAGAACCGCAGCAGTAAGAGCAGGGAGGCCCGTGACAAACAGAAGTACGTGCACTTACATGTCCTGTGTTGTATTAGTCTGCATGTTCGAAGGTTTTCCACCTAATGTGTTGCGTCCTTAGCTGTGTGTATTTGTGTGCAGACTGTGATGGCACATGCAAGGATAATTATAGTGTACTGTGTGGTTTGTGCTCGGTGTCCATGCCCATTTTTCTTTAAATTTTTTAATTTTGTTTTCATAATCATCTGCATGTGGTCTTTGTCCGACATCACAGCAATCATAATAGGATATTAGTAAATGGGTAACAGCTGGGCTTGTTTATCAAACATGTTTCTTATGAACTCTTGATATTGTGTGCTATGAAACCTGTGGTTTGGGTGGCGTAACAACTGTTGTTGGGAACTTATTTGGCATCAAGACTTAACACACATTTAGCTGTTCGGCCTACCATTCTTTTTGTTTTATTGTGTAGCTGTTTGTGTGTAATTTGTGGTATTTGTGAAGTAAGTAACTGTCGTTTGTTAGATATTTGTGCACATGATCAGTGCCTAGATCATGGATTTAATGTCTTGTGATTTATCTACCGTGGTAAAAAAGTAAACGATGCTTTTTAATACACTGCTACGCATAAAATCATATGTCAAAAGCAGTGTTGGGCATCTGTAGTGCTTCTATTTTTCTGCATGTCCATGTTAAGTAGACTCTAAATATATGTTCTGTTTATTATACAGTTAACGGTGTAAATTTTAATGCTTTGAAGTTTGTGTTGTATCTCCCTTTTTAACTTTGTGTTCATGTTTGAGCCGGGAGACTGAAGTAAATTTGAAATTGTGACTTTTCCTAAAAGCATGCAGATTTGTTACGATTGGACTCAGGAACTTTAAATCAGTGGATGAAACCCTAAAGACATCTTAAAATTAAGATGCATTATATCGCTTAAATACTGTAGTAACTATATGCAGCTTTAAATAGACTGGTGGTGATTTGTCAGGTGTGTGTTGACTGTAAATACTACTCACTTACAGTAGATTACTTACCTCTCTTTTTGAAGTGCAACAAGGATGAATAGAATGAGCCAAGGTATGCAAGTTAACGATTCTGCATGACTTAGCAACTCTTACCCGGGGTTCTGATCATAACTATGTCCCCTGAGGATATTGTTATGACAAGGGGAGTTTGTTTTATTTATTTTGTCCTTCAGATTTCAAGCAAACCATGCCTCAGTTTAAGTTTTGCTTTTGTTTAGAAAGCAAAATGTCTGCTGCTGCTCTTCCCTCCTACTTGCCATGATGAGGCCCATCTCCACATTGCATGAGGCTGAGACAACCCTTCTCCCCCTCCACATTTCTTTTTGCATTTTACCTTAGTTGCTTTCCTTGATCTGAGTTTTCTTTTCCTCTGAAAAAAAAATCGTGTCACATTCTTACTGTTCATGCCTTTTTTATGATTTACTTGAGATGGTTTGCATTGTGTGAGAGGTTTGTGTGTTTGTGCATTTTGCCTCCCTCTTGATTGCTTTCAGATGACTGTAGCACACTTTAAGATGTCACAATTGTGCTTCCATTTAAGTATAGCAGGCTATTATTTTACTAGCATAAAGCACAGAGTAACAAGTTTCCCAACTGTTTAAACCCACATCTTAACTTGCATGTAGGTCAAACTCATTCAAATCCTCCTGATGCAGTCGAATTACTTACTTCTTCACAGAACTTTAGGAAAGTGTGTCCAGCCCTGTGCCATCGGTCACACCAAGAAAGTGGGAGGTGTGACCAATTTGAAGTTTATATTAAAATGGGATATGAGTCTGTAAGTTCCCTCCTTGTAACCCTGTGCACCTGATATGATGGTTAGAGGCGACATCACTAAGTTCACCGTATCAGCAGCAGACTCCGGAGAGAGATGGCAGACATCTTGCTTCACCTCAGGCACAATTCTACACATCAAATGTCTGTGCTCTAACACAGAGCCCTGCAGCCTTGAGCTTGCTGACACGCACAGACACAACCCCGTACAAATGTCTTCACACGCGCAAGTCCTTGTGCACCTCCCCCCCCCACACACACACGCACAAGGTCTGCTCCACCTAGCAAAGTTAAAATTTGATGTTACAACTTCACTCAAAAAACGGCTGATTGAATGGCGTTGGTAGACGTGAAAAGTAGGGAGACAGTTTACAAACTTCTGATAGTTGGCACACAGCGCTTCCCTCTCCTCAGAAACTGTTCTAGCAGCCTTTTTTAAATGTAAAGATATTCACTCAGAAATTATATCTAATTCTGCCAGATCTCATTCCTGCTGTCAAAGTAATAGAGATCATGTGATAGTTTAATTTAAACTATGGCTGTCTAGGATATTATACATGAAAAAAAAGATATTGTTTTTTTTTTTTTCCATCTTGAGTGCCATAGTTTTAAAGATAAATGTTGTGGAATCTGTTAGTGCTCAGAAGACGTGCTAAAACAGCAAAAAACCCACAAATAAATACCTCAGTCAATGCATAAATAGCTGCATTTTATCTATTTCTATTTCAGCGATTTCACAAGACTTTCAAAACAGGCATAATATATCCTTTTTCTAATTTGGTTTTATATGAGAAATAGCCATGGCAAATGTTTGAATGTGTTTTACTATTAAAACACGTAATCTGGAAAGGAGCATTGTCACAGAGTTGAAACTTTATAACAGTATCGATATAAAAGATACAAATAAGCAGAATATGGTGAATAGTCTTCACCTTCATTCAGACTATCTTTTAAATGTAGATAAGAAAAAAATTAAAGAAATAAATAAAGAGCTATGTTATCGCACATAGTATACAATGACAAAATTTAGTTTCCAATTTTTCCCCAAATTTATTTAGAAAGAAATAAAACAAAATAGAAATGACTGAACATTATACAACTGCACATAGAACGTTACATTGAAAGTATCTGTTTAACTTCAAGTTGACTTCTAATTTGATTGCACCAGAACTGAGACCTCACAATGTAAAACTAAACACAAAGACGCCATTCAGATATTAAAGTGACTTAAACTGAGGCACTATGGTTGTAAATAATATGTTCCAAAGTTTGTCCAGCTAACTCATTGTTTTTTTTCCTTCTCTTGCCTTGTTCCTTTTAGAAAAGAAATGGTTTACAGATGAACCTGAAAATGCCTACCCAAGGAACATTCAGATCAAGCCTATGAGCACTCACATGGCCAACCAAGTCAACCAATACAAATCCACTAGTAGCCTGATTCCACCAATCAGAGAAGTTGAAGATGAATGCTGAACTCTGGCTTTTCTTGCTAACTCACCAGAGATCTGTGGTCTCTGTCTAAAAACACGGGCAGAGATCACCAGAGGAGAAGCGAGGATGGTTTCAACAAGAACACTGAAGACAACATTTCTCTTCACTCATTCTTCCAATCAAGGGTTAGTTGGAAACCCAGACAGGAAGGGACCTCCTGTGTGTATACCTTAACTCTTACTTCCATGCTTTGGACATTTTTTAATTTATAACTGTATTCATAGAGATGTACATAATGACAATCATATAAGATCTGTACAGCCCCTTCCCCTAGCACTTTTTTGGAATTATTTTAAGAGTTGACAAAAAAAGATACTTCCTGTTATTCTTTGCAATAGTTCACCTCTTCACGAGACCAGACTCCATGGATTAAGTGGCTGATTATTGGAGGACAGGGTTGCAGTTATAAACTGATCATATCATCTCCCCAACGTCCATCCAGATGTGTCACAGAAAACCAGCTGGGTTCATCAACATCAGATCTTCTTTTAGCTTCTGTTCTATTTGCACTAAAACTGGGAAAAGTTTTTTTTAAAGAACTGGAAACGTCAGCAGCCCATGATGACTTTTTTCCCCCTGGGGAGATCACAAAGCAATGGAAAGAAGACAGAAAGAAGGAAGGGTTCTTGGTTGTGGAAGGATGCTAATGTCGTTTTGATTGCTGTCCATCTGCTTAAGGTTTGCTAATTTGCCTTCATTGGTTTAAATGAGAGCATTCCAGGCTTGTGAAACCTTGCAAACAGTAATCCAATAACTCAGAGAATAGTGCAATGTAGGTTCATGCTTCAGCAAAGGCAATACAGTACCCTGATACTGGGACTTCGGCTCAGTATTAACCTTGCATGTTATGTGCCTGAACCCCCTTTATAATGCACACTGTATAGTGTGAGTAATTGGCCTGAAAACGTGATCAAGAAAAAAACAATGTGTCCTTCATGCATTCAGGAGTGTATATGTACATGCTGTGTGTATGTATGTATCTCAGTCACTTTTTTCCTCTTGTGTTGCGCTTGTCACTGTAAACTACCCACCTCACCAGTTTGTATGTGCTGGTGCAGTTTGGAAGGGGGCATGTGGGATCTCAGTGCTAAAAAAAAACGAGTTGTGGTAGAAACGAACAGCAGTCTAAAAGATTTGGATCTGCAAAATAAATGAAGTTTCATTTAAAATGAAACCAAGAGTCTCCCCAACTATGATTGAGCCGATCTGACGTGAACACCAGCTGCCTTCCTGAACACGTTGCCGTTGTATCTGCGGCAGAATCGGAATCACAAAGAAGAGTCGTGCATCTTCTGAATGCTTTGTGTTTTAGCGGAACTTCCTGTCTAAGGAAGGGAAGAATGCCACATATTGCATAAAGTGGGCATAACTGGGTCCTCCCTTGAATGGAGCAACTGCCTGGCACAGGGTTGGCACAGAGGCAGTTAAGCGCTTGGATGTTCTCTGTCGCCAATCCAGATGTCCTATGCCTCAAAATTCTCAGGAGCTAAGCAGCTGTGTTCAGTCCACTAATGGCGGGGGATGCTTAAACATAGTTGGTGGGAATGCAACAATGCCTCAGACTGCAATTAGGAACACTGAAGTTGAACTTGTGTTCTTCACGCTTGCTTGTGTGCAATAAAGGTGCATTTTGCACCAGTTGTGGCTCCAACAGATCCAAATCTAGCTTAGATAAAACCAACGTCTAACAAATTTAAATTGATATATTTAAACATTATTTTATATTCATAAACATATTCAATTTGTACTTATTTTTATACTAAAGAACGTACTTTAGCAGATGAAGACTGATTATCTTTAATTAAAATAACATATCAAATCATTTTTTTTCTGTTTCAATATATCATAATTTATTTTGCAATGTATTAAAACAAATAGATTTTTTTAAAATCCCAAACCCCTTATTAACAGTTTGCATATCTTTGGGGCTGATACAGCTCAGACTAGCTTGCATTGTGAAACTACCATCCTCGGCTTGGCAGCTCGGCTTCAAGCGCTTGTAGAAATGAACTTGGGTTCACCTGAAACCTTGTGAAGTTGCACAAATGCAATGTGTACTAAACAGCATATTAACTACTAAGCGTTCCTAGCTGTGACCATTTCTATGGAAAGGTAAAGAACTGTGTTTTTTTATGGGGATGAATATTGTATCTAAATGAAAAAGTAGATCAGAATGGTAACGATGACTCAAAGCATATGAAGTTTCTCCCACTGTGTGCAGGCCAGAACCGACTTGGCCTTCATTAGATGTGTTTGACCTAAATTAGGTCACTAGTATGGAACAAGTGTGTGTACACCACAGCACAGTGTGCTGGTGTTTTTCACAGAAAATAATAATAATAGTTTAAAAAAAAGTTTAAAAAATACATTTTAGCATGGAGATACTGTTAGTTGATTACAGCGAAACTCCTCTGTAGACTGTAAGGGAAAAGTAACTGAAAATAGAAAACCATTTTGGAATATGGAAAGAATTATCTTGTGCTAAATATGTTTGTGTAACTCAGTCCATTATATAGATCACATTTCTTTTTCAAACAAAATGATCTGAGCTTTAATGTCCGTTTATTGGGTGTGGTGCAACTATACTGAAGCTTCATACACATTGTCTTGAAGTAAACTTTTGAACTGTGATTACATCATTGTCACACACTGTAGCAAATAGATTTCTTTTCAGAAAATATGTGAGTAAAATACTTGTTCAATTGGAGTTGTTTATGGCATACTCGATAGCCTGAACAATAAGAAATTGCTAATATTTGATAGTGACAATGACTCATTGTAGACAGAAGCGACAAACTGATTGTTTTGTTGAAAAAAAAAAGTCAAACTTGTATTTCAAAAATAAAAGATCTTTGATTCTTGTAAGAATACAATCATACTATTCAAGTACTTTATGTGGCACAAGAAAAAAGTCCAATCTGTTTTAACAACCAGCACAAAGATGGAAGGTAGCACCAATTCAGCAACTGTTTTTAAGCGAGAACATCCTTCGTTTTCTTGTGCATTACTTTGTTTTATTACAGGGTTTACATTCCATTTTGTCAGCTTGTTGTTATGAAATGTCACGACTGCTTCCTATTTGTTTACACAGTACTTTTAAGACAAAGCATATTGCTCAGATATAAGACTTCAAACTGGCAACACAAACAAATTATTAGATCATTTATTTTTAAATACTTGATTACTGTGCATTTTTTTTTACCTGAATCCTCATTGTGCAACTCGTTCAGGCTGGCATTGTCACAACACTGGACTGAGAGGTTGATTCTTTATTCATAAAGTTTTCCATCTTTGTATTCTACACCTCTAAAGATTTTTGGTTTTTTTTTTTTTACGTGCCATGAAGCATTTAGTTGAACAAGCATCCTTCAGTCATTCAGAGACACTTTAAAAGAGCTGAGTCCAAGTGGTTTCCACTGTGAGAACAGTGTCTTGTACTGTCATGGAGAACATCCAAGCCATCAATGCCTCCATGCCAGTATAGTGCCAGGCAGTGCAGGAGGTCAAGAGGAGGGCCCAAAAGTAAGTCCCACTAAAGCGACAAGTGGCATTCAGAAGGCCCGAGGGGGATACTGGAGCACATAGATGCCTCAGTCATCACATATTGTCTCTGTTGTGAGCTTGGTAACAGGTTATCAGGTGAAGCTGTGGAGTGGGATAAGATATGAATGACTGAAAGATGCTAATAGAAGCCCATGTCAGGAACATCGCATCTGTTGTTTTTCACAAGAAAAAAAGATCAAAGATTATGATGAGTTTCATGTTACTGTTATATCACAGTGCGTTTTTTAATTACTTTTGTATTTTCTTTTTTTCTGTAAAGGTTAGTTTTAATCAGGACTTGTAACACTTTTGGGGAATGGAGGTGGGTCTCAAGTCTTAACAACACTGCAATTGCGTTCAGCAATTTTCTTCATAAAAAAGTTGCTTTTTTCCCCCACCTATCAGTTCAGAAAGATATCAGGATATTGCTCTCGGTTATCACAGATTAGTTTTGTTGGCATATTGCCATTATAACATACAGGAGTTTGACATAGCACTGTAACTAGTTTGGACGTGTTTTAGATCATATTTGATGGTGCTGAGTTGATCTACCTGACTCTGTCAAATATAATCTGCTGATAAATATACTGTCTTGTACAAAACGTTTGTACATAGATTGTACATGGTTTCTTTTTGTATTTTCTCAAATTAAAATGGATGTATTTGTGTTCTAAACTTTGAAACTGCCTTTTTATTTCAGGAGGAAAACCTAATTTTATTAATTTACTTTCCAACAATATGTGATGCATCTATGTCAAAAGTAAGGTGTTTGTAGCTGGATTTGTTTTACAATTCTGACATGCATTCTTTTAGGCATTTTCTGCTATTTTTAACTGCTAGCTTTTAACTACTTTGTCAACTGGGAGGAAAATTCTTATTACTGTTTGGTGTGACCACCCTCCAACAACAGTAGCAATTCTTATAGGCAAACTTGCACATAATTATTATTTTTTTATGTGTTTAAAGTCAGGTGTGTGATCAGGCAGTGATGCCAAACAGGTGCTAACAATCATCATTTTCAAATTATGTTGAAACACAGTAAACAGCTGTGGAGGAGGCTTAAAACAGGCTGTAAGCAGGCAAACTGTTACCAAAGTGAGGTTTTGGAAGCCATCACATCACAGAACAAACATTACGGCAAGACTGACCCTGACAGAAACATGAGGTAGTGGTTACATCAGCAGGGTCTCTGTCAAGTAAAAAAAAAAGTTCAAAGCAGACTGAGAGTTCAGGATGTGCTGTTCAAACTCTTTCTGAAGAAGCACAAAAAAACCGAGCAAAGCTGAACATTGTGGATGCAATGGTTGACCAAGACTGCTTACTTTATAGTGCAGAGGCTGAAAGATACATCATCCTTGTTTCCTTCCAAAATCAAAAACTGGTTTGTGGGACCAAGAAATATCTGTACTATTCAGCAGATAGGAAGGTTTGCGGTTAAAAACAAACAAACATTCTTTTGATGAATGTGTCCTCAGTGCTGAGAAATTCAAGCAGATATTTATTTTACAGAAGGACAACCCCAAACATACAGCCTATGTCATTAGGAATTAAATGCCTAGCATTTGTTGAAGAAATGCAAATCACCTGCTGAGTTTCAGATTATGATCATTTTATGACGAGAAACGACAGCAACACAGCGTTAAGATTAGTTTCAACAAAATCCTTCTGGTGGACCAAGAGATATTTTTGTAACAAACTGTTTTTTTATTTTAACATTTAAGTCAATGTTTGTAAAATTCTGACAAAGTTATAGTCATAGTCAAGTTTTTTGTTTGTAAATGTCAAACTGGTGGCCATCTCGAATAAGTTGACTCCAACATCAATGAGTTGTAAATGTGACCCATTACATCAAAGCAGTATGTGAAGAAATAGAAAGCCAGTGTTTTAGTAGAATAATTTGCAACAACTCTATTTTATCAAAACATAATAAAGACCTTAATGTTTAAACAAAATATCTGAAGTATAATCTAAAATAATTATTGAAGCTCTTTTTGGAGCACAGCTACAAAAACACAGTTTTGAGCAGAATAGCCTTACATTTCCCCATGTGGTTTTTTTTTTTCGTTCTAGCTAAATCTTTATATCCAAATACTAAGGTTTCCTCTTTAAAATTACATTTCAAAAAAATCTCATTAGAGTAGCCTAAAAAAAGATTCAGACCAAATATTAATGAGTTTTCCTGGTTAGGAAAACAAATCAAGCCATATCTCTAGAAATGCTCATGATATCAGGATGATCAAGCATCAAAATTTAGCTCAAAACGCTGGAATCTGAAAATGTGCGGCGATCTTTTTGATCAAATTTGACTTAGGTAATCCTCATTTCGATCTGATGGGTCACAAATATACTGTATATTCAATAATCATTTCTGAAAGTTAAGTAATTAAAATTGTCCAGAGGTTCACGAGACATTTTGGTAACAAACAGATACACAAACACATGAGCGCACACATCACAAGGTTGGTGACCTTGTCATCCAAATCTCACCACTAATCCGCGTTTCTATTGGTTTCCGCATTAGTTTTGATTTACCTTTGGTGACATGCCATTAGCTGCTCCATCACTTTCACCTGTCAGGCTGTCAGTCAGAGAGGATGCACAGTGATGGGTGGGAATAACATTTTGTCCACACTGGCGCTATATATCTATGGAAATGCTAAGAGCAGATGAGCAGAGGACATCATGTCAGATATCTCGCTACGGTGTCACGTCACTGCAGTGAAGGCAGATCACATCGGGACGCTTGACTTCTTCGTGTCCGTTTGGCCAACAGATAAAGTGATTCCATGGGCAAATTATTTAGTGAGAAAATAATCCTCTTCTCCACGTTAGAGCAGTAAACTCTGCAGAGCGATAGGCATGTTATCAGGCAGTGCCAACGTTAAAATGTTTTCAAACTTTATGCAACACAGCATATCGTAAAACTCCAGAAATCTGGTATGCTGTGCCTGTGTCAAAGTTAATGTGGGACATCCTATGAAAATCCTTCAAACAGCCTGAACAAGGCGCTCTAACGTTGCAGCAAGGCTTCTCAGGCAATCCCAGCAGAAAACAAAAAATGAAAACAGTGGACACCTTGCAGGTCTCCGAGCCCTGCCCTCCTCCTCCACACTCCTCAGCTAAAGTGTGCAATTTCACACTCCAACGTCAAACAGCTGCTCAGAAGGAGAATGTATGACCCACCCTGGCATTTGTCCTCATTTCGCTCTCAAATGTGCAAACACTATTACCCTTGGGTTATCTTAAGTGGTGTGGGGAAGATTCGCAGCCTCTCCTGTCTACTTCTTGCCACTCACACCATCAAAACGACAAGCAGTGGGGACAGAGACAGGGCTGGGTGTGTGTGTTTGTGGGGGGGGGGGGTGCGGAAGACAGAGTGAGGCGTTGGTAGAAAGCGATGGAAATGGAGCAGATGTTTGTGTGGCTGCTGATTTGTGGCCCGATAAGGGTTGCTACACAGGCAGCTGGAATTGATGGCTTGTTAGTGAGGACAGGCCCCTCTGTGAGATGTTTTCAAAATGATTGATTTACAATAAAGTGGCTCCGGGTGTGTGCATGCAAGCAGAACTGATGCAGATCGATCCCACTGAAATTGATTGATCAGCCATTTAGCCTGGCAGTGTGTTTACCGAACGAAAGCGAGCAGGACTCTCCTCCGGGCGTCTTCCCTTCCCATAAAGCAGAGGAGAAATGCCACCTCTGGGCCTGTCTCATTTCTCTGGCGGTGGCAGGAAAAACAAGCCATATCAGAGCACGAGCCATAAAAATGTAATCATATAGTGAGAAATACTGGCATAAACATTTACGATTATGTACTTTATTCTGCTATCAAAGCGTCCTTCTGCAACTTGGAGATATTGTGCCTTTAAAAATAATGACTTACCTGCTGTATGCAAAGGGAGGAGTACTGGCTGGCTTATCTTTGTGTCACATTGAGGCATGTGGAAGAGGTCATATAACTGCTAACGGTGGATTTCTGTAAACAAGCAGCCATGTTTAAAGTTGACACACCAGCAACCTTTACCTTAACTATTCTATTATCTTTTGAGATAACTGTTATACGTGGAGCTGAATGGTCTTCAAGTGTTAAAATGGCCAGTATAGATCGTGTCTTCAGCAATTTTAACAAACAGCGCATAGAAGGGTCTCTTCATGGATTTTATAAGGAGTTTTATAGATGAATAAAGCACAAGGACAACATTTACCATGTGACCTCAGTGACCTTTCGATACGTCCTCCCCGCCAAAAACAAAGCTCTCCATCTCTCAGCCGAGGACTTAAATCACCTGTGCTCACTCGCCTCATCCGGTTATTTAGATAATTGCCAACAAGAGTAAGCTTTTCCATTCCCTGGACAGCAGGCAGCAGGCCCATCATGTCCCTTATTAACAATTTTACACACTTCGTCGCAGCAAGAGGGTGTCAGAATGCCAATAATATTTATCGTCCCCTGTGCAGGCTTATTCAAGGGAGGCTGACTGCTGCCGATGGCTCTGACAGGAACTGACAGCATCCGAAACCTGAGATCCCTACAAACCAACTTCGCTGTTTTCTTTTATGTAAAAACGAAGGAGGAAAAAAAGTGTTTTTGGACATGAACAAGGTTCTGAAATATTCAGGGCTGTGCTTAAAATTTAAACATTTTTAAGGCCAAAAGAGCATTTAATTAAAAAAAATGGTCCAAAAAGGAAGCTTATTAGAAATGTCAGCGGTAACGAGACATGTTCGAAATTGGCATGATCAAATTTGTATTTTAACCTTTTTAAGCCTCATATTCTAATTGAGAAAGCCAGTTTTAGATGTCATTATGGGTCATTTACTGAATCAATGAGCTATAACATTTTAAAAAAGTATTTGCCAAGAGAGCTGAGAGGCAAGTAAATGAAATGTCTGCCATGGGGGTATCGAGCCTTCTCAACCAATCCATCCAGTCTGTAATGATTTCCATAACATTGACATGAAAGATGTTGACACCAATTACACCATCTCCCTTTTKMCCCCCCCCCCCCCCCCGATATTTATTTTTTCTTCAAGCGCTAAACATCTCAATCAAGCACACATCGGCCACCTTAAACCATATCAATATCTATGGCGGCAAGACGCATTTTGTTTCTTTGTGTGATGAAAGGAAAAAGAAAGACAGAAAAAAAGGAGAGATCTAAAGGCCAATCCTCATCCCAATTCATCTGTGATAATAGTTTCCATGACGATGAGGCATCAGTTGCGGCCCAGATAAACAGTGATCCTTTACGAAAACAAGAAGGTCATTACAGCAGCTTGTCAAATCAATGCCCAGTGTGTCCAAGTTGATTAAGACATCTCCCCTCAGCTCTGACACTCCGTCAATAGCAGCAGGCGCACAATAAGGGCGGGGTATGGGGATGGTGGGGTGGGCGGCAGAAAACGCGTTTATGTGTGTGCTGGAGGGGAGGGCGGGCACTCCCAACCTTTTTTTTTTCCTTTTCTTTTTCCTATCCACACACGTCCACACACCTCCGCAAACACACGCGCAGTACTCAGATGATTGGAGTGAAATACCCATCAGTCAGGGAGCTGAGGTGGACTAATGATTCCCTGCGCTGCCTATTAGAACTACATGACAACTCAATCCTGCTCACAAAAAGAGAGAAATGAAGGGGAGAGTTAGGTGGGATTGGGGGGGGGGGGGGGCAAGG